GTGCGTGAGAAGGTTAAAGCAGGTCTGATACATCTCATGCCTTGTTCTTCTTCAGATCAATTAGCTGATCTCTTCACNTTGTTTCTCGAAATGTGTCTTTTCATGAACACATTTTCCCTTTTGCCCATACAACGCAATCTGCTCCTTTACTACAAGCCAATTCTTTGCCATCTTCTGATCTTACACCTCCTCAGCCTTCTTTTAATGATGTTTCTTCTTCAACACACACTGATGTCTCTTCCTCACAACCTTTGCATCACTCTGAACGTCATAGAAAACCACCATCATATTTGCAAGATTATCATTGCAACATGGCTGCTGCATCTGCTCCCAATGTCTCTCCACGAGGTACCTCTCCTTATCCCTTATCTTCTGTTCTCTCTTATTCTAATCTTTCTCCTTCATACCTGTATTTTATTCTTGCACTTTCTGCTGTCTCTGAACCAAAATCATATAGCCAAGCCATCAAACACAAATGTTGGCAAGATGCCAAGCAAGCTGAAATTCAAGCTCTTGAGCAGAATAACACCTGGGTACTCACTGATCTACCTTCTGATAAGTCTCCAATCAGTTGCAAATGGGTTTATCGCATCAAACATAGAGCCGATGGTACAATTGAGCGCTATAAGGCGCGTTTGGTAGCCAAAGGCTACACACAAACTGAAGGAGTGGACTATTTTGATACTTTTTCGCTTGTTGCCAAGATGACCACTGTTCGCTTACTTCTTGCATTAGCGGCTTCCCTGAACTGGCCTCTTAAGCAGCTTGACGTTAATAACGCCTTCCTTCATGGTGATCTTCATGAAGATGTTTATATGGTTTTACCTCCAGGCTTTAAATCAACTAATCCCACTCAAGTCTGCAAACTACAAAAATCGCTTTACGGTCTAAAACAGGCTAACCGTTAATGGTTTGTAAAGCTTACTTCTGCTTTGGTTACAATGGGTTACTCTCCATCACCTTTTGATCACTCCTTATTTGTCAAGCATTGTTCTACTGCCATCACTGTCTTACTTGTTTACGCTAATGATGTTATTTTGGCTGGAAATGATTTGCATTAAATTGATGCTGTTAAGACTCATTTAGATGCCACGTTCAAAATCAAAGCTCTTGGTGATCTTAAGTATTTTCTTGGCTTAGAGGTGGCTCGCACAACTAAGGGACTTGTGTTATCTCAGCGTAAATATGCCCTTGATATCTTGGCTGATACTGGTTTTCTGGAATCCAAACCTGCTAAGACACCCTTTGACACTTCTTCAAAGCTAACAAAAGATGTTGGTATTCCTCTGGAAGACAGTTCCATGTATTGGAGGTTAGTTGGTCGTTTGTTGTATCTCACCTCCACACGTCCTGACTTATCTTTTGCTGTACAACAGCTTAGTCAATATATGGATCAGCCTACTTCTTTGCATCTACAAGCTGCACATCGTGTCCTACGTTACCTCAAGAACTGCCCTGCTTTTGGTATTTTTTTTCTGCTTCTTCTTCACTAACGCTGAAAGCTTTCAGTGATTCCGATTGGGCTGGTTGTCTGGATACCAGGAGGTCAGTCACTGGTTTCTGCACCTTTCTTGGTTCATCTTTGATTAGTTGGCGTGCTAAGAAGCAGCCCACGGTGTCTCGCTCTTCGTCAGAAGCAGAATATCGTGCTTTAGCTTCTATCACTTGTGAGCTCCAGTTGCTTGCTTATTTGCTCCGAGATCTTCATGTATCGCATCCTCATCCTGCACTGATTTTTTGTGACAATAAATCTGCCCTTCATATTGCTGCCAATCCAACCTTCTATGAACGTACCAAACACATAGAGATAGACTGTCATATTGTGCGTGAGAAGGTTAAAACAGGTCTGATACATCTCATGCCTTGTTCTTTTTCAGATCAATTAGCTGATCTCTTCACCAAGTCTCTCGCTCGTGCTCCGTTTCAAGCATTAATCCTCAAGCTGGGAATACTATCTATACATTATCCAGCTTGCGGGGGGCTCTCAACTAATCCTAACACTTAATAATTAGTTAGGAATTAGTTTGATAATTAGTTAAGAATTAGTTTCAGTTGGTTAGAATTGGTTGTAGTTTGTTATAAGATAAAGTGGTGAAGCTCTTGTATATAAGCTGTACTTTTTGTCTTTCAAAGTAATTCAATAAAACGAATTCATTTTTACGTTCCAAATCCATTTCTTCACATAGAGTTCTTAAGTTATGATCCAAATTCAATAAATCAGGATGAACCTTAAACTATGGTCTAGACTGACAGAGAGATAACATTTACTTCATAAAAATAAAAAAAATAAAAAAAAATCAATAATGATAGAGGTCTAAACACTGAAAATTATAACATGTTTTCATTTGTGCTTTCGAGATTTTATTGAATGATAGGCCATCAAAACTAATTAAGAAATTGCAGGGATATTTTCACCGAGCTAGGGCTCGGATTCAAGGCTTAATTTGGTTTAAAATTAGCGTGAAATTCTTATTAAAATATATATTAATGGCAGTCGTTTGGAGTTGACCTCCTGTGCTGAATACAAAACCTGTTGAAACAAGTAAAAAAGCAATGAAATTAATTGCTTTGCCTTTCACACTAATCACAGTATATTTTTGTAGCTTGATTAAATAAAGTGAGATAATGAACTGTATTAAACAACCTATTTGTTTAAAGTAAATTAGTTGATTTACTGAAGCAAAAAAGGGCATTTCAAATCTCAATAGAAAGCCGGTGGCATATCCCATCAACTTTAAAGTAAAAATGAGACATGACAGAATTTTAAAAAAGCTTCATCGACACCCTCTCGGCCTCGGATACCCTCACATATACTAAGTAAAACTAAATAAAAAAATAAAAAAAAAAATAAGGAGTTCTGAAGTAGCTAGCTAGCCTCTCTTATCACAACACCTCTCATATACAAATTCTTTCAATTAGTGATATACTTTTAGAGAGCTCATGATCCATTCAACACCTATTTAGTTGTCTATCAAACTCCACTTAAGAAGATGACGAAAAGAGATCACACATACTTGGCATTCTATTGGTGTTAACTTATCTTCTCAGTCAAAGGGTCGTGGGGGGAATAATTTATTAATATCATAATAATATAATCCAACTGTAATTAATATTCTATTGTGTTTGCTTAATGGCATCATCTGTTTCTACACGAATTAGCACTAAGGTCTACATCCATCGACCACTATCAACTAGCAATACTGAGAGAGACTTCTTATTTCGTAATGACCATAACCGATTTACTTAAGAATTAAGTTAAAAAATTAATTAACATCTCTGCAGAAAATTACGTGTAGTTTAATAAATATTTTCATATAAATTTATGCATAAAAGCAAGAGTCTCTAGACAAAATAATTGGACACTATTTACCTTTTATAGGACATCATTGACTAGTCCCCAGCTCAATTAGTGTCATTAATACTTAGCTTAAGGAAATTAAAGTTCCATTTAAGAGTATTTCGTAGTTTCAAAACATTTGAAGTTGTTCAAAAATTACTTTATATTTTTTTTTTCCTGATATATATTTTACTTAGATAGATAAGCACTTACTGTAAAAAATGGATACTTCCATAACCAGAAATTAAAAAAAAAATGCTTCTATCATATATAACTTACATGTTCCTTAAAGAAAAATGAAAAAAGAAATTATGAACAGAAAGTGTATATATATATATAAAACAAAAAAAACAAAAAAAAAAAAAAATTGTTTACTATTTGAACTTCAATCATCAGAAGTAAAGGCATTCAAAAATGTTTGAGGGAGACAGAGGAAAAGAGAAAGACAAGAAAAAGCCAGGAATTTTCGTCGCGCAAATGATCAATATTTAATTATTTGGCACTCATGAGAGTCGATGTGATTATTACGTTCTGCACACATAATTTTCTTTTTGGGATTAAGTTATATACAGTATGTGGCTTTTTTTTACTTTTGTTATTATTCTGTCTAATGAAGACAATCTCCTTAATTATGAAGGTAACAATCTAAAGGTGTTTGTGCACTGTTTATATTTGGATTTAATATATAGAATCAGGACAAATCTTTGAGATTAGTGCTTCATTACGCATGCTTCCATTGATGATTTTGAAACAAACAAAACTGCATGGAGTAATCAATCAATCAATCAACCAAAGTTACAACAAGTGCTGATATTGCAGCCACTTTATGAAGAACACAGAAATCAATAAAATTAAAAGTTAAAACAACTTATTTGCAGAAGCTGTTACAAATTTTGGTTAATTAATTAAGGATCAGGGTTTGGGCAATTAACCCATATCTCTCAATTAATGACACGTTTTTTTTTCACAAATTTGAATGCAATATTTTAATAGGAACCTTAATTTTAGTCTATAGACAAAAGTGTCGTGGTATCTTTCACACTAATTGATGTAAGAAGAGAGAGTACTTTGGCGTTCATGATAACTAAATCTAAATACATATGTTTGATTCTTTTCGTACAATTATATTTTGCCAATCAAGCTTCTAGAAATGGCGAAAGAATCTAAACACACAAATATGATTAAGCACATGTGGAAGAACGTGAAGCCTGATCAGAAGAGATCGATCGAGTTTGCATAGACTGGAATCTAGCGAGAGAAGTAACAATGACGTCTCAAAAAAGTGAAAGCTGCCATGGAAACAGAGAGAACATCTCACGCCTATACATAACATGTGGGCATCAACATAAGAACACTAAAGAATTCGCTTGGATTTCCGAGCTCTTTCTTCTTCTTCTTCTTCTTCAATTATATCTCTCCCTTTCTTTTTCTTTTCTTTTTTGTGAGCTACCCCATTTTTATCGACAAATTCGGAATCTCTATCTCGTCAAAACTACATAACCAACCGACCAAATAACCCATATATAACTATCACTGTTGCATTCTTTGAGAGAGAGAAAGGGAGAGAGAGAGAGTTTGCTTTTTTGACAGTTTATTGATAGCTTTATTCCTTGTTAGAATACAGCCTTGGTTATTGCAAAAGCAGATCGAAAAACTCAGATTCCAATCTCTCATTTAATAAGCAATTAACCAAAAAGAAGTATTACAGTGACATCATGATCACAAATATGAATAAATGGGTTGAAAATTTTGCGATTATATATATATAAAGGAGGGAACCGAAATCAAACAAAAGGTTAAGAAAGTCTGAGAATTTTGTTCTTCTAGTGAAACTTTTGACTCTTGTGTTGATGTGGTCTTACGTTTGGAATTTGCAAACAACAAAACTTGGAGAATCCAACGACATGCCTTCTTTTGCATGGTTTTTAGTGGCATTTTGGCGTTTCTTTAGCTGCGACTTCTTGTCCAACTCAACACACACACTCTGATTTTGTACTGCACAAACAACAAATAAGTACGTCTGATTTGGTCAAATTTCCTATAATTACACAATCATTTTCGTCATCCAATGCAACGCAAAGCAACAAATAAGTACCTCTCTTAAGTTGATATTCCTGTAATTGAAAATTCATATTCATATTATTAAGTTTTTTGTCTCTTTCTCTTGATTGAAAGTCTAGAGCAATCAAACACGGGCACAAACTTAGATGTGTTCATCAAGTTTCTGGGAGGGTGAAAAATAACTAACCTCAGGTAAATTATCCTAAAACAATGCGAGACCAAGAGTTACATTGGAATCTGAAATTGCCCATCGGATGATTAAAGGAACTGAGTGTATGTTGATGAAACAAGACATGCAGAAACCACGAACTATTGACAACCCAGCAGAAAAAGGATGCTGCTGAGTGTATTGGCCTAAAGAAGCAAGGCGTGCGACTAATTATTAAAGGGTACGTGGTTGAGCTCTATCTTATCAGGTCCATCTGCAAAACGTCTCTGTGTGTGCCAGAGAGAAAGAGTTGCAGGAGATGGGAGAGTCTTTACATTTCATGAAACTTGTTATAATGCCAATAAATTCTGTAGATAGCCACTAAACTTACCAAAAATGAAGACTGAACTCTCTTTTTTTGTTTTGCAGAGGCTTTGATATGAAATGACATGACTACATGAGCTCTTCTCTGAAAATGCTGCAACTAAACCAAATTAATGAGAGAAACTCTTCAACCGTATATGATCCATGATCCAAGATTATTCTTGGTTTCTTGCTCACTTTATTTCCCTCTTGATGAACATCTAAAATAAATCGACTTATCAACAAGATTTATGGCTCATTCTTATCCTAATTTAGCAAAGAGATTAGTTCATCTCATCTGAACAGATAGGAATGTGCATAAACTGAAAACACAAAAGAAAAGAAATGATGAACAAAATTCGCATATCATTTCAAGGCCAAAATTCACTAAATACACTGCATTTGATCCATTATAACAACTTAGTCCTTCATGTCAAACACCAAACTCCATGAACACATACGCCTACACATTTTAAAATACCCATTTAATACAAAGGGAAAAAATTGAACAGCCAAAAAAAAAAAGTTAAAGGCTAATTAAAAACCTACCGTTCTAAATTTCTTTCAGCGATATCCATAATTTCCATGTCAACTTCTTACGATCTTTAGTGGTTTGATCTTGAGACTTAGGGCCTTCTCGTTTCAAAGTTTTGTGATCAGAAACTGATTTCTCGTTTTTGGAACCTCTTATAGTCCAAAGGAAAAGAAGAAATATAATAATTAATCACAAAGCAAGAGTGGGGTTTCTTTTTAAGAGAGGACTATTGAGATTAAAAAATATCATAAGAGATGGCTGGTGGAAGATGAAGTGAATCCAGAGAGATCTGTCCATGCATTGCTAGTATTCCAATATTGATCATTTCCTGATATACCCAAAAAATTTCGTGATAAATTTAGCCCTTGATTTTGTTCCATTTTCACATTTGCCGACTGAGTAACCCCAGAATCCATTGGCTTTGACCGAAGCTGAGCAACATAACTACTAGGCGCCACCGTACCCTCACTCTCGAACTGATACAAACCAGTCGTTGGTTCCATGCCAGTCATGAAAGGATATTGTTGCACCTGTTGCAATCTCCACTGCTCAAAAAGCGCACTTGAAAATAAAGAAGAACCACCAGCACCACCACTAACACCACCTGAAGCACCACCAACCTGAAATTCAACATCATTATTGCCACTATTACCACCGCCAATAGCAGTTGGCACCCCAGGAGATTGAATTCCCCCAAAATTCAAACCAATACCCCCCGAATTGTAGCCACTAAGATGATGTAAAGGGGGCAAAATTGGTAATTGTGAGGGCGGAGGTGGCATGTGGCCGATGATATCAGTTGTGCAACGAGTAGAAGCAAGTGTACTAGATGAGGTTGACCCGGTTTGACCGTCGGCTACAGCAGGTGATTTCGATCTGCTTCCTTTGCTTCTTTTGTTTCTTCTACAGCCACCTCCGACTGGTACGTTTCTTAGTGCACCACCTCTAGTCCAGTATCGGCGACAGGTCTTGCAAAAGTGGCGAGGCTGTGAAAGGCTGTAGTTATTGAAGTAACAAAATTTAGTGTTTGTAGAATCACATCTTGGACATTTTAGGGCTGTTTCAGGTTGAGGAATCTTAGCCATTCGAGCTCGCTCCGCCATCGAACCAGGTCTGATTGAGCCAGCGCCACTACCGCCACCGCCGCCACCAAAACTAGGTAGCGGCGGTAGTTGGAGCTGCGAGTTCTCACTGTTGCCTCCTGCAGGTTGCTGTAAAATTTAAAAGCAAAAATATAAAAAAGTTAGAAAAATAATCAAAATAAATATTTTTATGTGATTTTGGTATATTCAAGATGAGATTAAAAAAGGATAGGAATATTATTTATCTTTTAATTTGCTTTTTTAGAGAAGAAGCTAGGTAGCTATAAAGATTGAAAATAAGAGAAAATCAAAATCAAAATAAAAACACTACCTGTTGCCAGTTGGGTGGATCAAGATAGACAGGAATGGATGAGAAAACCATGGTGGTTAATGAGATTTCTATCTTTTTGTAAAGGTTGATGGGTTCTTAGAGATATGGTGGAGAATCACATCAAAGAAGAGAGTTGCAGAGAAAGAGAGAAAGAGAAAGAGAAAGAGAAAGAGAGAAGGAGATGGAAAAGATAAAGGAGGGTGGGTTTATTTATTTGTTCTTTGTTCTCTCTATCTCTTTTTGTTTTATTAAATCTTTAGGGTTTCAATAAGGGAAAACAATATTTCTGGTTTCTTAACATGTAAGCTTTTCTCTTTTGATACAGTTTTACAGTGCTCAAAAAAGATATTAGTGACCAAGCAAGTAGACATAGAAAGAGAGAAAGAGACCCTAAGATAATATTAAATGTATGGTGTTATAGTTTAATTATGTAATTAAGAAAGAAAAAGGTGAGTTTCTTGGTGGGCTGGTCTTTGGTGGATGTATGTCATAATCGAATGTACCTTTGTTTCTTAGGGCTTTTCTTAAGAGTTTTGATTTTTGCATGCATGAAAAAGTTAATATAAATATAGGCATTTTTCTTTTTTAATATTTCTGTCTTAGGTAGATCATCATTCTCTACAGTAAAACTCTATAAATATGTCCTTTCTTTCTACACTGTAATTTTACTCCTTAGCCAGCAAGAGATTACATAAATTAAAGGACTCGCCAACCATTAGGGACGAAACAGGATTCAAAAAGCAGGCAGCAAACAGTGGCAAGTGCTGTGCCAAAAGTGTGAAAAGAGTTGAATGCATATTTTTTAAAGGGGTATGTATGAATATGCCAGAACGTAAAATGACTAAATTAACAAAAAATAAAAAGATCGAGGTGAAGTTGGAACACACTCTTATCATCAAATCTAACAATCATATATCAATAGAATTTAATACGTATAAAAGTTGCATATATGTTAAATACAAGAGTGAGTTTGTTTTTCTCTCAGGCTGGCCTTACTTTTAGCAGATGATTAACATGAATTCCAGTCCAATAAATTATTGAAACTGAAAATCAAATAAGTCACAAGTCAAATATAAAATAAAGAGAGAACATAATAGTTTATCCTATTTGTTCTAATTAAAGAACTATGTCTAACTTTCAAATAAAGAATTTTATTGATTATCAGAACTCTATAGTAATTACAACGACAATTTACTTTTACTCTCTATTCTCACCTTAGGTTTTTCACTATTAAACCCTAGATACATAATAGAAACCTAACTCTATTTGGACTTACCCGAATCTAACATGACCCAGGTCAAATATTAATAAACTAATTCTAAACTCAATTAGACATTAGGCTTACCGTGAAGGGGGTACTGCCCCTTCACCTCTAACCGCTCACTGACGAGTGAGGCCCTTAAATAAATCGTTGTAGACAGACAATCCGTCAAGGCTAAAAGAAGTATACATCATATCCAACATAAATATGTTAAAGTTGAAGAAATTTGTCACAATTAGCCAAAATGGAGAATATTCCAAGAGTGAGTTTCCTTTTCACAATTCTTCCACTAATCAAGGCGGCATAGAAAGCAAAATAACACTAAAATTTCATAAACATTCGTATCTTCCACTTTATCATGAATAATTCTTATCCATGCACCTTTAACACGATGGGGACTGCATAAATACACAACAACTGTGCTTGATTTAATACAATATAAGGGATCGTTTTTCCCAAACTAAAAGAAGAACTTTTATATTGTATTTTTAAATCCAAAAATGCATACGACTCTATATATGAATACCAACCCAGTTCTTCTTTGTCATTAATCAAGAATTCGTTCTGGTTTTTATGCATCTATTTAAATTTCAATATATATATAGCAAAACGTAATTATCTTGAGTAGGGCTAAGAAAGAAAAACAGAGGGTGGTGGTGGTGGTGGCCAAGCCGCCGTATGTGGAGAGAAAAGAGGAGTCGTCATCAGATGCTTACGGTCGGGGCATTTTTTACTTTTCCAATGCCACGTCAGATTTCATCAGGTCCCACATCACCTTCTTGTAAGGTTCTTGTCTTTGCCCATGCCCAACCCTAGCTTTAGCTCTAGAATATTTCATTATCTATATATTATGCTCTTTTCTCTGCCTAAGATTAATATTTATAATTTATTAATCCTAATATATCTATCTTTCTCATCCATCTGGGTCGGTGGAAAAAGTTGGTCTCACCACCACCACACATCAAGGTCCCCACGTGAAACATGAGGCCCAGATTTTTGTTGAAGCTTTGATCCCCTGAGAGATGAAATTTTCTTCATCATCATGATCAAATTTCTACCGTTGATTCCATCAATCATACCCCACTTAGCAGAAGGCATATATTTTGGCTGAAACTGGAGATATAATATACATGAGCTTGTATTTTAGGCTTATGGAATTGATCATACAAATGAATAATACGTTGTTTTGGGAATTTTGTATTTTTCCTATTTTTTTCTTGTTTAATGTTTGGACTAAAAGTGAAATGAGAAAAAGATTTATATATTTATGGGTGGTTTTGGATTATGATGCATGAGATGGGGTCCTGTTGCAGTTGCCTTTCCCTACGTCATGCATGTGCTTTGGAGAGGATACGGCGCCGTATTAAAACCCCATTAACCATTATTGTTATGTTGTTTTCATACATATACATAACATACATGATGATACATCCAAGCATAAAGATTATGTGTTGTGTGATCTATAAAACCATTAAAGTTTAAGGTAATTAAATAAACTTACGGGATTAATTATAGCAATCTATTTATATCCAAATAATAATGTATGTATCTTGCCTCAATTAATATTATGACACTAGCTAATTATCATGGCATTCTCCTCTAATAAGATCCGTAGCTTAATTATCATGACACCTCATAGAGACTAATTTGTAGTAGCTTAATTATCATAATACGTTAGATTAGAATTTGCAAATAAATCTCCCACCGCCTATAATCTGGAGTATGATAATAACTCAAGGCGTACAAACAATATAATATATAGTAGTGCATATGATTTCTCAAATCTATAGAACAATCACAAAAATATTCCTAAAAACCAATGCAATTGATCACACGAGCTTCAGCGGCGCCGTATTACAGTATAATCTTTATTCTGATTCTTCCTCCGTTATCAGACGACGAGCCACTATAATTTTGCTTCTTAAATTTTTCATGAAAATCATCACATAGAATTTCATTCAACAAATTACTTGGACCAAGTTCAATCTCCAGATTGCAGAATATATTAAATTAATTTATCTTCATTATTAATTATTATAAAGTAATAACATCACCTTCTGACATTCCAATACATGCAAATTAAATAGAATAGTTTAAGAGAATGAAAGTGTTAGCTGGAAAGGGTGACCTGGGCTCAATTTTAATTCAATATAGATCAATATTTAATGGGCACGTGTAATGTATGTAATATAAGATGAGGACACCATGATTTCTAATTATTAATATATCTGTTGAAAATTTTTATATACAACCCAAATATCTAACTCTAATATAAATCATCTCTTATATTTTAATATAATACACATTGTTATTATTGTATTATGAAATATGGTGAACTAGAAACTAGAAACATGCATTTAGTACATGTTGGCATGCGAGGTAGTTGAGACATTGAGCCGAGGAATTCGTATTAAATAGAGACGTAATTATGAAGAAATTGAAAATTTTATATATAGGACAGACATCGAACCAAAATGAGTAACTTTTTTCTTTTGTAAATAAAGTGTTTGGACCAGTTTACATACACTTCAACTAATTTTTTAGGGAGACTAAAACAGCAATCCATCATTATAGCTTTCTACTTAAATCTTGGGAGCCAGAGGAATTTGAACTAAGATCATATGTCTTAACTATACATTTCAACACTCGTCTAACCACTTGAATTATTCAAGAGTGGTCCAAAAGGCATAGCCACCTACACCAAAGAACTTAAAAACTATATGAACTCTTCCATATTTTTTGTGTTTAAATTGTTAATGTATTTAAGAGTATTTTTTGCATTTTTATAAGTTAGTATATACAATTAAAACGTTTTCTTCATCTAATAGTATAGTGTTTAGAAATAGAAGACGCTAAGATTGTAAGTTTCAACTACTTAACCGATAGCTGTACTTAAGCAAACACCACCTTATGGGTCTGCTGCGTCTTTTAAACAAAATCATAGTCATTTCTTACCCCAGCTGGACCAATTGTTATATCAAAAGCACAGTAACTATTTCATCATAATACAANATAAACTTACGGGATTAATTATAGCAATCTATTTATATCCAAATAATAATGTATGTATCTTGCCTCAATTAATATTATGACACTAGCTAATTATCATGGCATTCTCCTCTAATAAGATCCGTAGCTTAATTATCATGACACCTCATAGAGAAATTTATTTGTAGTAGCTTAATTATCATAATACGTTAGATTAGAATTTGCAAATAAATCTCCCACCGCCTATAATCTGGAGTATGATAATAACTCAAGGCGTACAAACAATATAATATATAGTAGTGCATATGATTTCTCAAATCTATAGAACAATCACAAAAATATTCCTAAAAACCAATGCAATTGATCACACGAGCTTCAGCGGCGCCGTATTACAGTATAATCTTTATTCTGATTCTTCCTCCGTTATCGCACGACGAGCCACTATAATTTTGCTTCTTAAATTTTTCATGAAAATCATCACATAGAATTTCATTCAACAAATTACTTGGACCAAGTTCAATCTCCAGATTGCAGAATATATTAAATTAATTTATCTTCATTATTAATTATTATAAAGTAATAACATCACCTTCTGACATTCCAATACATGCAAATTAAATAGAATAGTTTAAGAGAATGAAAGTGTTAGCTGGAAAGGGTGACCTGGGCTCAATTTTAATTCAATATAGATCAATACTTAATGGGCACGTGTAATTTATGTAATATAAGATGAGGAAACCATGATTTCTAATTATTAATATATCTGTTGAAAATTTTTATATACAACCCAAATATCTAACTCTAATATTAATCATCTCTTATATTTTAATATAATACACATTGTTATTATTGTATTATGAAATATGGTGAACTAGAAACTAGAAACATGCATTTAGTACATGTTGGCATGCGAGGTAGTTGAGAC